ATTTCGTAGCTACTCCCTAATACTATCGATCATTTTACAACTAGCATAGTTGACAATAATAAAAAAAGATAAAATGCTTGACAATTACTCAGTTACCAACATATAGAATAAGAGTACATTTTGTCAATCAATCATGTTTTTTTTTAGCACTTTTTGAGGTCTATTGTGTTTTTCTGTGCATACATATATTTTTGGGAATGCATATGATTAATCCCTCAAAAGTGCTTTTAGCACCTTGAGCTAAAGTAATGTGAAATAATAATAAGAATAATAATTGTGAATCTGTCACTAAGATTATTGATTTTGTGACCAGTTGTTAATAAATGCTTTGGAGTGGATGATAATACTGAATTTCTATTTAAACTAAGTACATTTAGATTTTTTATATAACCGAATAACTATTTAGAAACATTGGAACATTCGATTGCTTCTACCTATGTATAGGTATCCCCACAAATGCAGGCGGACTTGAAGATAAAGTGTGATGTGGAGTCCACAGAATTTCCTCCCTTAACTGTAGACACAGGAATTGAAAATGTTCAAGATGTAAGGAGAAGACATGAGGCGTAGAATTCACGCTTAATAGCCGACTTAAGCCTTTGAATAGTAGTTTAATGAATCTGGATGGTTCCTCTGTCTGTCTGTCTGTTTTCAACATAGAACTTTGCACTGATGTGCGGCAGTTCAAGTCACCACTCTCCCTCCATTCAGCACACAAAGCAAGAGAAGAAAGTAGAAGAAATACATAATAGAGACAGTAAACAGAGGTGTGAGACAAAAAAATAACGAAGAACAATATATTTTCGTTTGAAAATATAAGTCACAAGGATTGGATGCATGTACGCCTGCCATTGACAACGATTTCGAGACATATCACCAATTGTTTTCAACCATTAGTATTTACAGTCCCGAGGACCCCAACTCGTCAGGAAGTCTACACCTTCCTAAGTGGCGGTTGGCTTAAACTAACTGTTGTGGATTTCATTGACTAGTGCCATGTTTTGTTTTGACAGCGGCTAGCTCTTTTCCAAACTGACCCTACGTCAGCTAACATTGCCCGTCGAGGAAGGCGATCGATGTCTAGGTATGTATGCGTAACACATATCCTAACCATCTCAGTCGATGTAGCTTCACAGCCTCGTTGATTGATTCCCCTCCTTACGTAGCACTCTATCGACGCCTAACCTCAATATTGCTCACCTTATTATACTACTTCACACGGGAGATAGAACGCAGGCACCTATGATCAAAGACAGCTAATCTTTTCATGTTTTCCACACTCAATGGCTGGGTCTCACAGCCATAAAGGAGGACGGAGCGGACTGGTTCTTTTGGTTACGAAGGTAGTCTCTCTTTACTGCCGTGACATAGAACGAAGTTTTAAGGCTAACCAATTAGCCAACAAAACCGGGTGTAAACACCCTGCAGTTCATCCATCAGTGTATTGCACGTGCGGTATTTTACTGGCTCTTCAAAAACAGGCATTTCACTAGAGAATGTTTGTATTGGATAAGAACAAAATTGCCTTGAAATGAAAATATATCATCCACTCCTCCATGTCTACTTGTGAAATATTGATCACCTAATTAACTGCTCCGTCGTGTCGCTTAGTCACATTGCAATATCTAAGACACGCAATTGGTTATCCACTTCATATTCTGGTATCCCTAGAATATTAAGATATAACTGTGAAGTAAGTAAGGTTGTTAAATGTGATTCATTACTTTTTAAGAGTTTGTTTGATTTGATTTGTTTCAAGTTTGATCACGGATCGATTGATATCAGTTAGAGAACCACCATTGAGGGTTACTGAGGAGTAGTCTGGTCCTAGTAGCTGAATGGTCTACAAGCTTGCTTTGTAACTGAAAAGTCCTGGATTCGAACCCTGTCGGTGGGTGCGTACTGATGATGAGTCGTAAACTAGGGTGAAACAGCTGCCCAAGTACTCTCTTACTGGCTTTCAGTAGTTCTTTAACTCAAATATCAATCTTTGATCAAACTTGATTCATTATTGTTGACATTAGACGGTTGGAGGCAGTCGAAAGGAAGCCCCGCCTGGTCTAGGTTTCGTGCTAGTTGGCACTCATCAGTCAGCAGGGAGTATTTGCAACCTAGAAGGAAGTCATGTCCCTTCTGAGATTCGAATCCGCGTCACCTAGTTGGTACCGAAGTCAGAGACATTACCACTGAGTTATTCGGGCTTGCGATTGACCTTCTGTAGGAGATGGTATTGGATACTTTTGATTGGACACTAGTTAGTAACTAGTGTGATGTGTCTAGTCTTCTGTTTAGTGCACCGTGATGGTGAGTCACCTATCATGGTGATCACATTGCAAACGTGACTGATATAATTCAACCTTCAAGTGTTAGTTTGTAAGGGTTTGATTAGTTACAGAATTTTCATCATGAGCTGACACTAGTTAGAGAACCATTGGAAAACCTGGGAGTACTGGACAGCTGTTTCGTCCTAGTTTGGGACTCTTCATCAGTACCCACCCAGCGGGGTTCGAACCCAGGACCTTCTGGTTACAAGGCGAGCTCGTATACCATTAAGCCACTGAGACCCGATCAAATGACCCACGAATTCTAACTTCTGCTAATTCGCGACGTAGCGCGACCCCAGCCAATGTCTCCGGCGAGTATTTTTCCTCACACTCGACCTGCTGCACCCTACTGGTCACGACTTCTCACTAGAACGCCAGGTAACTACCTACCGGAATAGGGCAAGTCGCTAGAATTCAGTCTGCACCAAACAGAGGACTAGACACATTACACTAATTACTACCTAGTGTCCAATCAAAATTGATTTATTATTGTCACCGGCAGTGTATGCATCTGCATAACGCCGAGTACTAAGTGTACAACTTATGAACCTACCTTCCATTTGTTTTTCCGACCTTGGTATAAATATCTCTGTTGACAGGAGCTAAAGAGGGTTTTTTCATTGTGCGTCGGTGGCACAGTGGTTAGGACTCTCGCCGACCATGCACACATGGTCCGAGGTTCGACTCTCTGCCAACGCACATCTGATATCTATGGTCGGCCTGCAAAATTTGGGCTACCGATATCACATGCTGAAAATTTCATACTTGTACCAAAAATGCGGTGTGGAATCAAGCTGTAATAAAAAATATAAAAAAAGAAATAAAATAAAAATCAGTTTTCATCTATGTTTACTCTCTTGGAAGGTGAATATAATACTTCCCTTAGATATCACTTAGAGCTACATTTCAATTAATTCTTGTTTGTTCTTCCCAGGATATTAACTATTTAAATAAATTTTAACGTTCATTACCACTTTAGAGGAGATATTATTATAAGTGTATTATTATTATTGTTGCATTGGGTTCCAAATGGAACATAGGGCTTCAATAGCACATCTCCACTTTGTCGTATTTTCTGCGGTCCTCTTTGACTGGCCCTACGATTGCTCGTAGTGTTTCATCTTCCCCCTCTTGACACGATCTCCTCCATGTCACCTTCGGACCCACACTCAACTCGTCGTTCTCCATGTGGGTTCCGCTTGAGCTATGGACTGACGTGTGATGTCATTCGACGTTGTCTCCTCATAGGCGTGTTCTCAATCCATCTCCATTCTCTTCTGCGTATTTGTTGAACAATGGGTTCTTGGTTGGTTCTTTCCCAGAGGTTCTGATTGCTAATTCTTTCTGCCAGGCTATCCGATCTTCAGTATAGAGCCAGCGAAGGAGACGGCTGTTGATAAAACCTTCGCAGCCTATTGAAAATCCTCCTACATATTCCGCACCCACCAATTTTATAACTCATAAAGGAGAACTGACTGACATAACATTGGTGTTGAAAGTTCGAATCTTATTCTTTATGCTGGCTGAGTGGAACAGGTTTCCACACTGATTTCAGGGAGATGAAGGTCTGCCTTGTTTTTCGGATGGTGCATCTTCATCCATTCCGCCTGTATTTGAAACGATGCTGTATAGAAAAGTGAAGTAATTAACCTCTGTTGTATCTCTCCTGTTGATAGTGATTGGTGCTGATTGGTCTTGTTGGTACGTGAGTATCTTCATCACTGGCGTCTTTTCTATGTTCACTTGAAGTCCTGTCTTTCCTGCTTCTTCTGCCAACTATTTTCGTATTTAAATCTCCGAGATTGTGTGACGTTAGACATAAATCATCCGTCAAGTCCAGATCTTCTTGGAGTCTTCTTATCGGTGGTCAAGCGTATTCCTGTCATCTCATATCCAAAGACTGTCCGTTGCATAATATAGTCCACCACACTTAGGAATACTGTCGGTAATAACAGGCAGACTTATCTTATTCGTGTCTTCACTTCAAACTCCTCGTTGAGTTTTCCCTTGTGAAATACCTGACACACGCCAGTAAGTAAGTAAGTAAGTATTTATTTTTATCGTATTCCCCTTCGTACGTCGGTGGCACAGTGGTAGAGTGCTCGCCGACCATGCAGGTGGTCCGAGGTTCGCTCCTAGGCCGATTCACTTCTTTACCTCGCTAAGCCAGTAAGTAGTAATACTGGTAAAGAGGGAAGGTTGGGCATGAGGCTGGCAACCCCATCCTCTAAGAAATAATCACCATTACTACAGAAACTTCAAGCCTACAGATTGAAGACCTATGTTTTACTGGAAACGTAAACGAATAAAAAAAAAACATTCCCCTTCGTTCCCAAGGGAACATAGAGCTTTAATCTGAAGCTTTAAAGTTCTACTAGCAGTGCGGTTGCTGCTTTCACATCAGCCCAACCTTCCATCCTTACCACTGGGCTTATTAGCAGGCTGAGCAAGCCACCGTTTTTGTTGGCTGTGAATGGTCTACAGGCTTAACTTGTAACCAGAAAGTTGTGGGTTCGAACCCTGGCGGTGAGTCCGAAACTGGCATTTACATTCTCATTGTAGTCACAACAATCTTTCCTTATATAGTCAGTCAGGCAGTGAAAATCACTGCCGCCATTAGTTTATGCATGCAGTTATTTTCTGTTTCCCTTTTTTCCCCTCTCATTTTTCTCTTAGACAATTCTTGCTTAGTTTTCAATTACCAGGTGAAAGTCAAAAAATTGATCGTATTTTGACAAGTTTTTCGGAACGTTATGTAGAACAGAATCCTACAGTTTTCAATTCACCACGTAAGTTAGTTTTTACTGGGTTTTTTTCTGTGTTTGTATTTTTTTTTAATAAGTTTATGTTATCAACAGTTCTCTATATAATTCAACACTACACTTTCTCAAGGTCTACCAACTTATTCAACAGCTATTTGAGGGCAGCACATGTCAAGTGATTCTCAACGGAAATCTTAGCGATATCTTTGAAATGCAGACAAGAGTAAGACAAGAGCTGGCTGGCTGTTTGCTATCACTGATGATATTGCTAACTGTCTGTTTGTCTGTTTACAACATAGAACTTTGCACATATGGGCAGCAGTTCAAGTCGCCACACCCCATGTAGCACACAAAGCAAGAGAAGAAAGTAGAAGAAATGCATAATAGAGACAGTAAACAGAGGTGTGAGACAAAGGAATAGTAATAACGAAGATCAATATAGTTTCGTTGGAAAATATAAGTCACAAGGAGTGGATGCATCTGCGCCAACCATTGAGAATGATTTTGAGTTAGCCATATCACCAATTGTCTCCAGCCTTCATTGGTTTTTACCGTCCCGAGGACCCTAACTCGTTAGGAAGTCTACACCTTCCTACGTAGCTTAGACTAACTGTTGTGGATTTGATTGAATGGTACCATGTTTTGGTTAGACCGCCGCTAGCTCTTTTCCAGCCTGATCCATCCTATGTCAGCTAACATTGCCCCTCGAGGAAGGCGATGACTAACTGTGGTGGACTGGATCATACGACACACCGTGGGGAGCGAAAAGACAGGCATAAGTTGGTCCGACAAGAAGACCCTAGAAGAGGTGAACTTCACTAACGATTTATACATAATATCACATAAACTCGAATATGTAGGGACGAAAACCAACAAGTTGGTAGAAGAGACAGGACTTCAAGGGAACGCAGTAGGTGGTGATGAAGATACTTAATCGACAACAAAAACAAGCACTGATCACTATCCACGGGATAAATTTGAAAGAAGTCATGCCTTTTACCTAACTAGGCGGCAATGTTTGAACTACAGGAGGATGTCAAGGCTGGGATCTTAAAGATAACTCTGAGACCATTAATCTATAGTCAGTCTGGAAATCGACTGCACTCAGTGTAAAGAACGAGCCTCGGGTTCGCAATACTAATGTCAATTCATCATTCAGTGCTTCTGTACGGTTCATATACTTGGCGTGTCATCAAACAGGCTACTGCACACTTTTATCAACAGTTTCCTCCTCCTTCCCGGCTCCATATCGAAGATCAGATGGCCGATCGAGGAGGAAGTGCAAAAACAGACTCAGAGAACGAACCAATCAATAACTGATTACCCAAAAAATATGTCGAAGAGAATGGAGATGGATTGGATATACGCTAAGGAGACTGTCTGGTGATGTCGCGCTACAGGCTGTCAAGTGAAAATCGATGCAAAACGACGAGTTGGGTTTAGGTTCGAGAGTGATATGTAGAAGATCGTGTGAAAAGGTGAAATTCGTAGCACTAGCTAAAAAAAGGACTTCAGAGAACCTAGAGGGATAGAAGAATGCTGTTGAAGCTCCAAGTTTCACTCGAAATAATAGTAGTATATATTTAGCTTCATATCAAAATTATGCCAATCATATGGTTAGTTAGAAAGGGTGCAAATAATTGTGGGATTCTAGATGCAGTTGATTTGCAAGGGTTTACAACAGTTTTATTGCACATTCAATAATTTGTAAGATAATGGCGATTAAGAAGAATGGACGAGTGGATTACATAAAGATATCAGTCGCATGTCCTATGTAACTAGCTCCACTGGAACAGTTCAACTGGTAAATGTGCTTACGGTATAGGGCGAAATCAGACAGCTTATGTTTATTTTTTGAACTGTGTATTGGTTAGCTTGTCGAATAAACAGGCATAACTTATCCACGTTAAAAGTAATTTTGAAGGCTTTTCTTAAAGGTTTTGATGCACTCTCACTGATTTTCAATAGTTGGTTTGTAAGGATTAGATTTGTTTCTATGAGTTTGACCACGGATGGATATCAGTTAGAGAACCATTGAAAACCAGTCAGGGAGTACTGGACAGTCAGTTGTTTCATCCTAGTTTGGGAATCACCGGCAGTATGCACCCACTGTCAGGGTTCGAACCAGTGAGATCCATCCAGTCAAGTGTGTGAGGATGGATGTCCCACCGATAACATTGGTTGGTGCTCGCACTAAATACATCGCGAATTGGTAGAAGTTAGAATTCATAGGCTGGTCATTTAAGAGTCGGGTCCCGGTGGGTGAATGTTATGCGAGCTAGCTTACCTGGTAAACCAGAAAGTCCAGGGTTCGAACCACGCATAGTGTGGGTGCGTACTGCAAACAAGGATGAAACAGCTGACTGTCCATTACTCCCTCTGGCTGGTTTGCGATAGTTCTCTAACTGATATCAATCCGTGATCATCAACTCGTAAAAGCAAATCTCACTAATTGTGAAAAGGAATATATATATATATTTTCGCTCAATTTGTTGTTTTTCCTGTGTTCAAATAAAGATTTTATGGTATTGTTTGTAATATATAGCGCTTATTTCTAATTATTTGTAGACGAGGCGTATGTATTGTCCTATGCTGTTATCCTACTGAACACAACACTGCATAATACTAATGCAAAAAGTCATAGTCTTGGTTTAGCCGAAGAAAAGACATTTGTACGCACAATGATGGAATTTGATGAAGAGACCAATTTATCTGAAGATCTTGTTCGTGTAAGCTTTTCGCCTCTTTTTCCGTTTTGCCCTTCTTTTTGATTGTTAGTCTGGGGTTTTTTGTGGTACACAGAGTTACAAGAGGAATCCCGAACTGATATCGGTTAGAGAACCATTTGAAAATGAGCTGGGAGAGTCCTGAACAGCTATTTTGGACTCTTCAACAGTACGCACCCACAACGCGGGGTCCGAACCCACGACCTTTTGATTACAAGGCGAGCTCGTAGAAGATCTTGGGTTCGAATCTGACTGACTGACTGACTGGTTTCAGCGTAGAACTTTGCACTGATATGCAGCAGTTCGAGTCACCACACTTCACTCAGCAAACAAAGTCAGAGAAGAAGAAGAAAGTAAAAAAGAAACGCAAAATAGAGATAGTAAACAGGGACATGAGACAAAGGAATAGTAATGAAGAAGAACAATATAGTTTCACAAGGAGTGGATGCATCTGCGTCAGTCATTGAGAACAATTTTGAGCCATATTATCGATTGTCTTCAGCCATTTGTGTTTACCGTCCTGAGGACCCCAGCCAGTCAGGAAGTCTACACCTTTCTACATAATTGGGTTAAACTAACTGTTGTGGATTTCATTGACTGATGAAGCCATGTTTTACTCTGACCACCACATACTCGCTCTTTTCCAACTTGATCCATCCTATGTCAGCATCGAACATTGACCGTCGGGGACGGCGATGGCTAGGCATGCGTAATACATGTCCTAACCATCTCAATCGGTGTAACACCACAGCCTCGTCTGTTGATTTCCCCTTCTTACCTACCTAGAACTCGACCGATGCTTCACCTCAATATTGCTTACTGTATTATCCCATTTCACACCAGAGATAGAACGCAGACCCGTATGATCAGGGATAACTGGCTTTCGATACTTCCACTATCAATGGCCAGGTCTCACTTACAGCCATAAAGGAGAACGGAGCGGACTACTGGGTTCGAACCCCACCTACTGTGAGTGCGTGTTGATGAAGGGTCCCAAACTAGGACGAAAAAGCTGTCCAGCACACATCAACACTTGATAATCACACAAAATTGTTACAACAGAATTCTCGTTGTTGTCGTCATTTCTTCGTTATTTCTATTTTTGAAAAATTAAAGCTAAACTTTACAATCTGTTATCATATTACATATTTTTTGTACTTTAATTGTTCATAAGTTCAATTTTTGTACTCTTGCTCTGAGTATTTATTGATTTCCCGCATAATTGATCACTTTCGATTTTTGTTTTATCATAAGATTTCTTTGCATATGATTAGAAACACATAAGTCTGCGAAGAGGTCACCTTCCTTCCAAAGCTGTATGGTTGTTAGTCATTTAGGTTAGAGGTGTTTTATATATGTACAGTGTTATATGGCAACATGAAGATCAGAGGTTATCTTCACTTACCGAAAAATACCAATCTAGACATGAGTATACGCATGAACAGTTCAGCGAATAGTCTTTTTCTCGGAAAATTCATTCACTTAGCTGTTTAATCGCAATGACGTCATCAAAATATCTTAGAAATCTTGACAAATAATCAAATTGTACCTCCGGGTGTTGGTGAAGATTGGCATTTCTTGACTAAGGTTACATAGTGTGAACGACATCCAGAGTAAACAGGGTCTTAATGAAAGAGCATGGAGACAAGTGTCCAAAACAAATTATGTTAATAGGTGGAAGGAGTAAATAAAGGGTTATTTAATTGAATTTTAGATTTTCCCGTCGATCGATTGGACCGAAGTGCTAGGTCTCAGGTTGACATGTCTGTCGTCTTCTTGTGCAGATGCTTCGATGATGTCTGGACATGTAATTAGAATTTAACCGGTGGATGGTGACTAGCAGTGGAATCCAGGATGCGCATTTGGTTTCATTTGGGACTCGCCAGCTGGATGTACCTAAATGTCATACCAAAAAATGCTCAAAATCGATGAACTTAGAAATGTACCCAAGGTAGAAGGCGAGATTGGAGAAGTTTCTTCTGCGTATACATAAATCAGGGTTTTCCATCCGAATCTCTAAAGCCCCACTCAGCATTGCAAGGTATACGGAAGCTTAACGTTTTCGGTAGGCTTCTTTCGCCTTTGTAGATGATTTTGATTGAATTATCCTTACACATATTGAGTGTTAAACAAGCAATAAAGCAGGATTTAATGAATTCATCAAATTTCGATAGAACTCGTCAGCTGAATACTCTACATACATGGATATATATACTTTTGAAATTACATTTGGAGATATAAGACTGATAAGTAAACAAACTACACTGAATTAGTCATGCAGAAAGACACGTACGAATGTTTAAATAGATAGGGGGAGAGAGAGTATGAGAGATCAAAATTAAGGTATATTGCATTACGCTTCAATTACATCACTTAGATAAACAATTAGTCATTAGAGAACATAACAAGAATTGCAAACAGAGTAATATCAATAGTATTAGTTATAATAACAATAATAATAATAATAGTGTTGAAGTGAGTTAAGATAATCTTGCTAATGAAACATAGTTTTAAATGAATCAAGAATAGTAATAGTAATGATGATAATAATAATAAGTAAAACGTATTACCATGTTAGATTCAGAATCACGACTACCCTTTTTGTACACAGACCTGGTTTATAAATTCGAATTGCACAAGCCTCCTCTGGAATTGCAAGCATCTTCTTGTTTCTTTGTCTGCTGAAAATGGTGAATGACTTGACCGCGTCGATATCATGTCCATAGTCCACAAGATGTTTTGTTATTGAGGATTTCGGCACTTTGCATTCAGCTGTTTTCAACCATTTTGGCAAATGCTCCATAATTCGAGTAGACAATCGCCTCTGTGTACGACCTATGTATTTGCTTCCAAAAACACTCAAATTGATATATGCAGTGTGAAGTGTCGAGTGAGTGTTGAGTGAGTGACCAGTGTTGAATATATCTATATTCAATTATACAGCACTCTTTATTGATTCATCACTGTTGCGTTTTCGTAGCCTAGTGGGATAATGTTCTTTGACTCTCCTAGGTAATACATGCATTGGACGACCCATATAAACCACTCCACGAGGAGCAAGAGAATTGTTAGTTACGCATGCCGTGTGTCTCCATGTCTCTCCACGCTCTTTTATTAACATCCTATTTTTCTGGGTATTTTTCATATTACCTAACCTTAGTCAAGACTTACTGATCTTCACCCTTCCCCCTATAGTTACAGTTTGATTATTCACCACATATTTTGAAACATCTTGTTGACGTAATTGTGATTAAAACAGCTAAGTGAATGAATTCACCGAAAAGAGACTTTGTTGAATTGTTTGCTCTTGTTTACAGTTAGTAACAAAGTGAATCAAAGTGTATATGTAATAACAATGTGTAAAAAATTGTGAATAATGTTATATGTTTGGAGGTAATTGGCGGGAACCCATCCCTAGACCCTTGGGTTTTGTGTTTGATGACAGTCACCAGTTAGCAAGACGTATTTGGAACCTTGAAGGAACTTAGATAAGGAGTGAAGTGGTAGAGCGCGTTGATTAATTCACTTATTTGGGAAGTTTCATCAGCCAGTCTCAAACGGGTTGATCGATAGCTGACGAAATCTCAGCATGGATACAGAAGGCTAGTTTCGCATATGCCAATTTACGCCATCTCTGGCGTAGACGTGATATCCGGCTGGTTATCGACCACAGAGCGTGTTTACTGCTCAGCAGTCTGCCCCATCCTCCTCTATGGCTGTGAGACATGGCCATTGAGAGTGGAAGACATGGAAAGCTTGGCTAGCTTTCTTTGATCATAGTTGCCTGCGTTCTGTCTCCCTTGTTAGGTGGTATAATAGAGTGAGTAATATAATGTTGAGGCTAAGCATCGGTCGAGTGCTAGGTAAGGAGGAGTAATCAATCGACAAGGTTGTGAAGCTACATCGACTGAGGTAGTTTGGACATGCGTTTCGTATGCCTAGTCATCGCCTTCCTCGGCGGCCAATGTTAGCTAAGATAGAAAAGAGTTGGTGGTCAAACCCAAAGATGGCACTAGTCAATAAATCCACAACAGTTAAAGCCACGTAGGAAAGTGTAGACTTCCAGGTTGAAGTCCTCGGGACGGTAAACAGCAATAACTGGAGACAATTGATGATCTGGCTCAAAATCGTTCTCACTGGCTGGCAGATGCATCCACTCCTTGTGACTATACTTCCCAATAAAACTATATCGTTCTTCCATGTTACTATTCTTTTTGCCTCATATTTCTGTTTATTATCCCTCTCTCTTTTGAATCTCTGTATTACTCTCTTCTCATACTTTGTGTGCTACATGGAGTGTAGCGACTCGAACTGCTGCACATCTGTGCAAAGTTCTCTGTTGAAGCCTGTCAGCCAGTTAGTCAGTGAAGGTACTCATTTCCCTCCTATAACATTCGGAATCGAGTCTCATCTCGGACTTGAGCACTTGATGAAGGGAAAGGAGTTCTCCTTCAATATTGTAGATATGTCTCACTTACTGACGAGTACCAACAAACACGGAAACCTAGGGAGGGTATCCTGACTGTCTCCAATTATCTAACTACAAAAATAATACATTCTCTAGCTGTTGACAGTTATATCATCACTATGATGATTTTTTAAAGCTGTTTCTGCTGGAACACATGTTGTACACAAGAAATTCATGGTAACACAACATTCATAGCCCAGTAGTGTAATTTCGACGTCATCTAAATGTCTGTTTTATTTTTTGGCACAAATGTGCAAATATTTGCATTTTTACATATGTTTGTACATGTGCATGGATGCATGTGTGTCTGTGTGTGTGTGTGTGTGTGTGCGTGTGCAAGTGTTGATATGGCGGACAGATTGATTTATTCTATTTTGAAATTGAATAAGATAGTGGTATAATTGGTGTGACTCATTCATTATAGGCGTGCAGTATTTATCTTCTCTGGCTACATGTAATCACAAGGTTAATAGATTTTAATGTTGCTTGTTAAAACAACTAACCTTCATGTACACACTTCAGTTATACTTCTGTT